TCGAAGAGAATGCGAATACGATCGGTAACATCCCGTTGTCCTTCTACGACCAATACCCCCATATTGGCTACGACATCAATGGAAAGAAGATCATGCGTCCTGCCACCGGGGAGGCTCTGGACGCTTTGCTTGACAGCATTGAGATCCCCAAGGGCTTCACCGGTCTAACTGATCCCTCGACCGGTAAGCCTCTGGAGCTGAGCCAGGATGAGCTGGAGTTGCTGCGCAAGGTGCAGATGAACGAAATCCCCGAGGAGGGCTACAACCCATACGAGCCTTTGATGGAATGGTTCAGTAACAAGCAGGAAATCATGCCCCTCAGTGCTGCTCCGGAACCCAAGCGTCGATTTGTTCCGTCGAAGCACGAAGCCAAGCGGGTCATGAAGATTGTGAAGGCCATCCGCGAAGGTCGCATCTTGCCTTACAAGCCCCCGTCCGAAGAGAAGGAGGAGGACCTCGAGCTCATCAATTATGACCTGTGGGCAGACGAGGCCGAGCGTCCAGACCACCCCATGCACGTCCCTGCCCCTAAGCTTCCTCCGCCAGGCTACGAGGAGAGTTACCACCCGCCTCCGGAGTATCTCCCCGACAACAAGGAGCGCAAGGCCTGGCAGGAAGCCGACCCCGAAGACCGGGACCGGGAATTTCTCCCTACCGACTTTGGCTCTCTTCGCAAGGTCCCTGGTTACGGCGAGTTTGTCAAGGAGAAGTTCGAACGTTGCTTGGATCTTTACTTGGCTCCTAGAGTTCGCCGCAGCAAGCTCAACATCGACCCGGAGAGTCTGCTCCCCAAGCTGCCCAGCCCTGAAGAGTTGAAGCCGTTCCCGTCTGTCTGCGCCACGGTGTTCCGGGGACACAAGGGCCGTGTACGTTCTCTTGCCGTCGACCCCACGGGTGTGTGGCTCGCCACTGGTGGTGACGATGGCACTGTCCGCGTTTGGGAATTGCTCACCGGTCGCCAGCTGTATAGCGTCAAGGTGGGTGAAGAGGATCCTGTCAACGTTGTCCGCTGGAGGCCGAGCAAGGATGCCGTGGTCTTGGCTGCCGCAGCCGGTGACGATATCTACCTCATCGTGCCCCCGATTCTCGACCCCGAACTTGAGCAAGCCAGTTTGGACCTTCTCGACGCCGGCTGGGGATACGCCGCTTCGAAGCCCGCCCCGAAAGCCTCGGAAGAGGGCAAGAAGACCACCCCTCCCCAGTGGGTGCGCCCCTCGGCCGCTCTCGCCGACAATGGCGTGTGCGCCGTCATTCCCCTCCGCTACGTGGCCAAGTCTATCTCGTGGCATCGCCGCGGTGACTACTTTGTTACCGTCTGCCCGGGCTCTTCTACCCCGGCATCCATGGCCATTGCCATTCACACTCTGTCCAAGCACTTGACTCAGTACCCCTTCAGCCGGCGCATCAAGGGTGGTGGCCCGCCCCAGACCGCGCACTTCCACCCCTCGAAGCCCATCCTCTTCGTTGCCAACCAGCGCACCGTCCGTGCCTACGATCTCTCCCGCCAACTGCTCGTCAAGATCATTCAGCCCGGTGCCCGCTGGATCTCCTCGTTCGACATCCATCCGACCTCTTCCACCGCTTCGGGCGGAGACAACCTTATTGTCGGATCCTACGACCGCCGTCTGTTGTGGCACGATCTTGAACTCTCCCAGCGCCCCTACAAGACCCTCCGTTACCACCGGAAGGCCATTCGTGCCGTCAAGTTCCACCCTAGCGGCCGCTACCCTCTGTTCGCAGACGCCAGTGACGACGGCTCTCTCCAGATCTTCCACGGCAGTGTCACGGGCGACATGCTCAGCAATGCCAGCATCGTGCCGCTCAAGGTCCTCAAGGGCCACAAGATCACCGGCGAGCTCGGTGTCATGGATCTCGACTGGCACCCGCGCGAAGCCTGGTGTGTCAGTGCCGGTGCGGATGGAACCTGCCGGTTATGGATGTAATTATTATAATTGGTCTTCCTTGTGTGTATCCTGTTCGAATTTACATGGGAGGCGTTTTGGTGTGTGCATAACTAAATTTAGAGTTTCTGATATCCAAAAGTTCATTCACTCCTTCATTGGGTTGTTTGCAGTAGTAGTTCAAACCAGTAGTAATCAGTATTTATTAGTAGCAATTAGTAATCGTAAGTAATCTGGACTTCCTGGATTGAATGTTCCTCAAATGATCTGTCATTATTCATCACTTTTTTTTTGGATCCCTCCACACTCTCTATATGCACACAATGAAGAAACAGCACAAAAGAGATAATAAGTAAAAGAAACAATCCCAAGGTACATCGATGTATGTACACACACCAAAACGAACAATAATCTAATAAGTTATTATTTACACCACACCACCACTCCAATCCCTCCTCAACTTCTCATACTTCTTCAAATCCGTAACACTAGGCCGAATGAACGCCTTGGCAGCGACAAAGTCCTCGAACTTGATACTATCCCGTCTCTTAATGGCCGAGTAACCAGCGCGACGAAGCAAACTGCCCAGATCAGCACCACTGAAGCCCTCACACTCCTCGGCAAGTCTGCGCAGATCCTCATTAAACTCGATAGGCAAGTTCCTGACGAGGGTCTGCAGGATCTCGACACGCTCGAGCGGGCTGGGCAAGTTGACGAAGAGAAGGGTTTCCAGACGACCGGGACGCAGCATAGCCGGGTCGATGATATCGGGCCGGTTCGTGGCCGCGATGACGTAGAGGCCTTGACGGCTGCTGCCGAGGCCATCGAGTTCAGTGAGGAGGGTGTTGACGACGCGGGCGGAGGCTTCAGAGAGGGTATCGTCACGACGGGGGACGAGGGCGTCGAGTTCATCGAAGAAGATGACGCAGGGGACGGAGGAGCGGGCGCGAACGAAGACCTGGCGGACGGCGCGTTCGGATTCACCGACGAATTTGTTGAGAAGTTCGGGACCCTTGACGCTGATGAAGTTGGCGCGGGACTCGTTGGCCACGGCTTTGGCGAGGAGCGTTTTACCGCAACCGGGGGGACCCCAGAGGAGGACGCCGGTGGGAGCGGTGATACCGACGTTGGCGTAGATTTCGGGGTTCTTGATGGGTTCGACGATGGCGGTGGACAGTTCGTCGCGAATGCCGCCGAGGGCACCGATGTCAGCCCAGGTGGTGTCGGGGATAGTGGCGAAGCCTTCGCGCTTGGAGGAGGGTTGGATCTTAGGGAGGGCTGTGAAGAAGTCGGCGTTGGAGACGAGGACAGTTTGGGTTTCGTCGCCGATGGGCGTTTCTTTAGCGTGGGTGATGAGGCGGCGGAGTTCTTTGACCTTAGGGCTGATGATGTCGGCTTCACCTTCGATTTCCATTTCCATTTCCTCGCCGCTGTTGGACTTGAGGAGTTCGAGGTAGCGTTTGATGGCGGCGGCACCGGCGGTGGCAACGAGGTCGTTCAGATCAGCGCCGACAAAACCGGGGGTGCGTTTGGCTAGGGTCTTGAAATCAAGGTCGTCGACGAGACGCATCTTGCGGGTGAGGGCGCGCAGGATCTGCTCGCGAACGGGCTCCGAGGGGACGGTCATGTTAATTTCCTTGTCGAAACGACCTCCGCGACGCAGGGCTGCGTCCAAGCTGTCGGGACGGTTGGTGGCCGCAAGGACGATGACGGGCTTTCCGTCGGTCTTTTCGAGGGCCAGATCGTCCATGCAGGTGAGAAGTTGGGCGACAATGCGCTTCTCCATCTCTCGTTGAGCGCTTTCACGCTTGGGGGTGATGGCGTCGATTTCGTCAATGAAAATTAAGCAGGGCGCGATTCGCTTGGCTTCTTCAAAGTATTCGCGGAGAGCCTTCTCGGACTCTCCTGACATGCCGGAGATGACGGATGGAGCGGATATGGAGATGAAGGGGACGCCCAGCTCGGCGGCGAATGCGTTTGCGATCATGGTTTTACCGCAACCTGGCGGACCATGTAGCAGAACACCGCGAGGAGGCTGAACATTGGACGACATGTAGACTTGTGGGCGTGTCATGGGCAGGATGACAAGATCCCCGAGCTCCTGCACGACATCGTCCAATCCACCCAGATCGGCCAGACTGATATGTGTGGGGGGAGAACGGTCGACTGCGGCCTCGGCCTTGCGGCGCTTGGAGGACTGCGATTCACCACCATGGTGCCGTTTCTTCGTGGAGGTAGAAGGTGGTGCTGTTGACTCGGCGGTGTTGGATTCGCTCTGTTTCGAGGGCTTCGAGCTGTTGGTTGTATTCCACATACCAACCAGGCTCTTGTTGAGGCTGTTGGATTCCTGCTCCCGTCAGCTACCTCTCCATTGCTAGCCAGAATCTAAGCCGCTTCTGAAGGCAGGTACCCCATGAAGCGGCGCGCATGTCGCATACCGGTGCCGGTGGCTCCTCCAGACCTTCAAAGTCGCCGTCTATGGAGTCGTTCTCATCTTCCCCGAAGACGTCGGCTTTCAGCACTTCCACCACGCGCTCGATGCTGTCTTCAAGAATGCGCTTCGGCTTCCTGTTCAGGCTGGAATTGGACCGCTTGATGGTATCGTAAATGCTGGACACCGACAGGCGGAATTGGGCATTCTCTGCATTGTCATCGATGATTTTGCGTACGATCTGGTAGATCTGTGTATAGCGAGTTTAGCGATGATCGCATTGATATAAGCCGAGGGACGAGTCGCAGCACTTACATCCTTGTCGAGGCCCTGCCTCAGCGTCGGCCTGCCCCCACGACGCATCTTGAAATAGAGCAGGCGCTATGAATGCGATAATCGGGGGTGATAAAGATCCCCGCTGGCGATGAATTCCCACAATTTTAGAGACCCGGAGAATTGATGCGCCGGCGGAGAGCCCCAAAATCGTCTGAAAACACCGGCAGATTCCCGAGAAGTGACACTAGTCCATATGGGGCAATAGGACGATAACGGACGTCATCTGCGGTGGACTCACTCACTGCTCACTAGTTATCTATCATTCTATCACCGCCGGCCTTTGACTGCTTCCCCTCAAAGCATCCTCGGGAACAAAGCAACATGCGCTGACAATGGGAAACACAAACAGCACCCATAAGATTTCTGCTCAGGACCGGTAAGACTATCCATATTATCTTAATGGGATTCGCCGTGTTGCTGTCTCCATCAGCGCCGACCGGCATGGGTCACGAGCCCCCATTCCCCGTCCCCGACCGATCAACTAACGCTCTTAACGCTCAGGGCAATCCTTGACCTCAAGAACCAGCGAGACAAGCTCCACCAATATCAGAAGCGAATTACCGTCTTGACAGACCGCGAAACCGAAATCGCGAAACAATGTCTCGCCAGGAATGACCGCAAGCGCGCTTTGCTTGCCCTGCGTCGCAAGAAGTACCAGGAGTCGCTACTAGATAAGACCGACAAACAACTCGAGCAGCTCGAACAGCTTACGGGGCAGATTGAGTTTGCACTGGTTCAGAAGGATGTTCTTTTCGGCTTGCAGCAGGGGACCAAAGTCCTGCAGACCATTAACAAGGAGATGGGTGGCCTTGAGGGGGTGGAGAAATTGATGGGCGAGACGGAGGAAGCGAGAGCCTATCAAGAGGTAAGCTTCTATTGCCAGTGGTTATCTGAGAAGGGTATTCTGGATTGGATGCTGACTAGTTGGTGGTGGTTCTACAGGAAATCAGCGAGATGCTTGCTGGACGCTTGTCCACTCAGGATGAGGATGAAGTTGAAGAGGAACTGGAGGCTTTGCAGCGGGATACGCAGGGTCCGGTTGTCTTGCCGAATGCGCCCAGCTCTAAGCTCCCAGAGCACGTGGAGGGGGTCAAGGAGGACGAGCATGCCGCGGAAGAAGAGGCCCAAGTCGAGGAGCGGACTGCAATTCTTGCTTAAGACTGTGCCATCCATATGATCTCTTTCTTTCGATATTAGCATTGCCGGCGTTGGTGGTTTCAGGAAATTCAAGTATAGTATAGCATTGTTAGATATGTTTCGCTATTTGAACGCTAGCAACTAGACCGTCGAAACATGGATTGGCGTGCATTATCTTGATAGAGCCCAGCTCAATACCCAAGGCAGTCTCCGTAGCTTCTGATCAATCATTCCAGTCTGTCACAGACCTCATACATTCCAGGCCAGCATATAGCCGCCCCATGTTCAAACAAACACTGAAATCCGATCCATGTTACTCGCGCTCACAGAATCCTGCTCCCCACCCCATTCACACCCTGGATAGCAACATGATCACCCGGATTTGCAGCCGCCTCATACAAGAAACTGATTGGCTCCCTATTTAGGGCCATAAACTGTCCCTTGAAACCAATATACCCGACCTTGGTGACGTCTTCTTCCCCATCGCTCCAGTTATCCTCGAAGAACAGAGTGATGGAGGTAGTCGCGTTCCAATGCGCCCGGTTCAGCGGCAACTCGAAAACATCTGCGCCCGGCATAGGTTGGGGTATCTCGACTGTCTGCGTGGGCTTCAGGTCCGAAGCTGTTCCGAAGTCCAGGTCGTCGCGATTCTTGAATAGCTTTAGGGTCTTCGGGGCAGATGGGGTGGGAGCGGTGTATATGAGGAGGGAGTGGACTTTGACTTGGCCGGTGAACCTGAGGTTTATTTTTTTTCCTAGATTAGCAGCTGGTTCATGGATAAGATGGTGGTTGTGGTGTAAAAGACTGTTGAATGCTGGGTTTGCGACAAGAAGCTGAGATGAGGGGCATTTGGCGGGGTATAAAAACCACATCACAAACAGCGAATCCGGTCGATAACCACGACGATTTTAAGGGGTGTAACATACGGAATATACATCAGCAGCTGTTCGTCTGCGTCGCTTTCCAGCTCCGGCTCATCATCGAGCCTTTCGGCCCATGTTTTCTTGACAATCGCCGCGCCGGACTTGGGACTGGCCTCTGCAGGTGGAACCCGGGTTAGCATGCACAGCACGACTTGCAGCGGGTGCTCATATCGCGTTTTGCCTACCGTTTAATGTAGTGATCGAGTCAAACTGGATTTGAGAGTAGAGGAGAGATTGAATTGCGGGGGTGATGTCGTTGGAATGATCATGGCCGTCTTCTCCGTGGCAATGGCCGCCGTGATCGTGGTGGTGGTGATGACCTGACATATTCGACTTGGGAGATTTCGAAAAGACTGACACTGATCTATTTATATGTCTGATTGGTAGAGTTTTATAAATCTGTGGACTGCGGTGTGTCCGAGATTGTAAGAATGGTTGACCTTTTAACAAGAAAGAAAGAAAGATGGGTCAGCGTTGTTGTTCTTCGGCAAAAGGACCGTCTGGCTGCTGTAAAATGATGCGCATCATGATCCAGGTGACCGATTGCTTGGTTCATTCACCACTTAGGTACGCTCTACACCTGTAAGCATTTATTATTTCTTGTGTTCTGCTGGAATAGCAGAATTCACTAATACTAATAAATTCTACAGGTAACAGAAACCAATATGCATCTCTAACATTCTATAGAGGTCAACGCTGACGGGTATAGTACATGCAGGCATGTCGTCAATCACAATCACTAATAGGTTCACCATCATATAAGTCCCATCAAGTTACGCACTATGTCCTATAGCTCAATGAACCTGGTAGTAGTTCGGGGCGTATTCGAGAAGGTAGTTCTTCTCGATCTTAGTGATATCGCGGATGAAGGTCTTCTCGCCGGTCTGTAAGATCTCATGGAAGATGACCCAGTCGGCTTTCCGATTCTGTATAGCCCAATTAGCAAATGACTGCAAATATAGAAGATAACTCTGTATTGTCAACATACAAACATCAATGAACTCGGGTGAGCATGGAGAGTCAGGCCTCCGCTCACCGTCTTAAAGGTACCATCGGGTTGCATCTTCGCGGCGTGTGCGAAATAACCGGTAGTAAGACACCTACGAATCTGTTCCGCAAGTTTACTTGGGTCTTCTTGCCGAGACCGAGCGGAGAGAGTCTCGTCGACCTGAATCCCAAAACGCTCAAGATATCGCTTCAACTGGCCCCGAATGCTCACAGCCCGCTGCAAAGATCGAAAGTTCAGAAGATTGTCACGGCACCATTTGGACCCCTTCTTTCCTTTGGTGATAAACGCTTGGTACACGTTAAGATACGTTAGATGATCGCCCTCTTCAACTGCGAACTTTCTCCGGTGGCTCTCCGATGACTTCCTGTCGCCTTCATGCTGAACCCATACGGTCCCTTGAAGACTCACCATGGCAGCAATAGAGAGGATCTCACTTAAGCAGTTGAAAGATGGAGCTGATAGCAGCACCTTTGCCATCATTGGATCGACTGCCAGCTCTGCCATGCGCATCCCATGGGGCTTTGTGAGTTTGGCATAGTCATCAACTGCTCCCAAAGAGTACAGCAGCTCGAATGCGCGAATAACAAGCTCTGTAGGAGGGGGAGTCAGGAAGTCGAATCGTACGATGTTGTCGATACCCAAAGCCTTGAGCTGCATGATCACAGGTGCTAGGTTTGACCGCTGGATCTCCGGAACGGTGGCCTCGGGGAGTTGCTCATAGGCCTGCTGCGTGTAGAGGCGGAAGCACTTCCCAGGTTTGGTACGCCCGGCTCGGCCAGCTCGCTGAACAGCCGCTGCCTTTGATATGGGCACTGCGGTCAATGTCTCTATGCCAGTCTGCGGGTTATAAGCTCTTAATTTGGCGAAACCGCAGTCAATGACATACACAATCCCGTTAATAGTAACAGATGCTTCGGCGATGTTGGTCGACACGATGACCTTGCGGGTGTTTTCTGGTGTCGGTTCAAACACGTACATTTGCTGGTCTGTTGTGAGGCCAGAGTAAAGGGGCAACGGAAGTATACTCTGCGCCTTGGGATGCAGCGTTGCGGCACGTTCAGCGATCATCTGCACCGTGGTATCAATCTCTTCTCGGCCAGTCAAGAACACCAAAATATCACCTTCTGCCTCTTGAAGATGGATGTCGAACACGGTTTTGACTGCGCGTTCGACATAGTCTTCTGCAGGGTTCTCGAGAAAGAGCATGTCCACCGGATACATGCGACCTTCTAGACTGATGATCCTTCCCACCTTGCCGCCAATTTCACCGGATTCCGGACTGCTGTCAAACTCCTCACCAGCGAAGAAACGCAGAAAGTCTTCAGCTTGCAAGGTTGCACTACTGACCACAATCCTAAGCTCCGGCCGTCGTTTCATGATCTTCTTCAGGATACCCAGGAGGATATCAGTACTGAGGGACCGCTCATGAGCTTCATCCACCATGATTACAGAGTACCGTGACAGCAGAGGATCTACGAGTGCCTCCCTAAGTAACATTCCGTCTGTAAGGAACTTGATCCTGGTGGAAGCCGAGGTCAAGTCCTCAAAACGAATTGAGTAGCCCACCTCTTCGCCGAGCTTGCAGCGCATTTCCTCAGCTACCCTAGCGGCCACCGTGGTAGCGGCCACCCGACGTGGCTTAGAAATATTAGCCTTTCTTTTTGCATCCGAGTTCATCTGAAGGAAAATCATACCTGTGTCACGGCTATGGCTTTCCCGTCTGCACACCATCCTGCTTGGTCGAGATACTGGGGTAGTTGGGTTGTTTTCCCACTTCCTGTTTGTCCAACGACAATGGTCACCGGATATGTTTCAACCAGGTACAACAAGCTCTGCTTGTGTCTTGCGATTGGAAGCAATGCGGCCGGCTTGTATAGAGCCGGGATAAAGCTGGTGGACAGATCCAGCTCGGAAGCCATTGCGACTGGGCCTTGAATGATAATGGACCTAGGAGGTGATTTGCAGCACCGGTTCCAAGCAGGGGCAAGCTATTATTGCGCTAGACAACCCCAGGTAAGCATATTGAATTCGCAATTTCCGTGTCAGCTGCGCAAGCCTTGCACTGCCAGAATTGAATCCAGATTCTACTTTTGACGAAGTAGATATTGTTGGAGCAACTGCAGCAGTGCTTACCTAAACACCGGGTCCATCACGTGGCGCAACGTCACTCCGCGGGCATCGGAAGTGCGAAGGGGGCTGAGAGGCTCCGAAGCTCCAATCGCATCATCCCCAGCTTGCTTTCTGCCTGTTGGGCAAATTTCCTGGTCGCATAAATACCTCCAAGGCCTGCGAAAGCTTGGCACTCTTCTCCACCTTCTAGACAGCAAGTTTGCAATATTTTAACGCTGCCTAAGTTGCTCTCACGATGTCGGAAGAAGACAAGACTGTAGGTTGTCCTCTATATCCCGCTCCTTATACCTCATGCCCGGCCACTCACTCGCAGCCAGACTCCCAATAAACTCTCCACTGGACCACTTAGTCCCAATCCCGAGTCGCCGACTACTGCGCGCCCTCTCGATTTTGATGATGAACCCCAGGAAACCGGTGTTACCGCAGCGCCGTCAACAGCCCCTACTCAGCAGGGCGCTGCGGAAGCTGCCCCGCCTAAGCCACCCCGCCCATTGAGCCCCCGTCAACAGGCCGAGAATACTCTCAAGGAAGCGTTCCCCTCTATTGAGGCATCGGTGATCAAGGCAGTGTTGGTGGCCAGTAACTGGGATGTGGAACGGTCATTCCATGCTTTGCTTAGTACGTGTGGTTTGCGACGGACAGTACTGCTATGCGCGGTCACTAACAAGTCCCTTTAGGCATGACGGATCCCAGCGCTGCCGAACAAGATGCGCCGCCCCCGAAGCCACCACGCCCAACTGCTGCGCAGAGGCAGCTAGAAGCGGATGAGATGTATGCCCGTCAGCTGGCCGAGCACTACAACCGTCCTGCGCGCCAACCCCGTTGGGACAACGAGTACCCACAGCAGCGGCCGCGAAGGGGAAGCGATGGATCGGAGGAGAAAGAATACAGCTTTTTTGATGGTCGGTGATATGGATCTTTACTACGTTATCTTGGTCGCTAACAGCTGGCCTGTATAGATGATCTCCCGGTGATCCGCGAGAACCTTCGCAAAGGATTTTTAGATACCCAGACGAAGGTCAACTCGTGGGTCCAGAACCTGAAGAAACGCCTCGACGGCGAACCCGAGGCCGGCCCTTCTGGTCAAGACCAGCCTGAAGAGAACTACGGTAGACCTAGACGGAGCGGAGACCTAGGTCGTCGAAGCGGCGATCGCGAACGCTACGATGCCGATCATCGCATTCTGAACGACGACTTTGCCTCACTTGAACTGAGAGATGCGGAAGGTACGTTAACCCTGTACTTTCCCTAATTCTGCACTAGATTCACATTCGAATGCTGACCTCCGTTCGCAGCTCCTCCCCCGCGCCCCCCACGGCCCCTCGCCAACCCCAACCTGTTCAAATCCTCATCACCTTCCCCTGATCGACGCAAGGTCTCTTTCCAGGAGGGACCGCCTACTGAAATTGACAACCTCTACGATGCCTCTGAGCCCGTCAGACGTACGTCCCCCGCGACAGGCAAGTCGAGCAAGTGGCAGCCTCTGTCGACTGTTGACCCTTCGCCCGTCGGGGAGCATGACCCATTCAGTCTTGGCGACAGTGATGATGAGAAAGAAAAGGAAGCCAAGGCCAAGGAGCAGAGCACGGCTGAAGCTGGGCCGGCCAGCGAAGCGTCGAAAGACAACAGCAGCAAGGCCGAGAATGCTGGCAAGTCGTAGGGCTTGTTCAGTGATCGATTAATAATTATGAGAGTTTCCTTTTTTGCCTCCTCCCCGACACATGCCGTTTCATCCCTAGCACCACCTGTCTGCTACATGTACTCTTCATACCATTACCCTGATAATGGCCATATGGCCGACGTTAATGATACCAAAGACTGCACTAGTGGGAAGTCCCAGAGACCGTTCCATCCCTAACGAGGACTATGAATACGACGAATATTACCACAATTAGTAGTAGACCGCTCAGTCATGTCCATCATATTATTCCTTTCTAATTAGAGAATAAACGGGTATCACAAGGAAAAACCAACCCAAACAAAAAGAAGCAGAAAACGCCATAGATACCTAAAATAGTCATACTAAACACACAATCCACAACCCCAGGTTAGATTCTTAACAGCCATCTATCTCACTCCGGCAAACCCTGCTGCTGCTGCTGCTCATTCACGAACCCGCGCGGCACACCAGATTCTTTTCTTAGATCCTTAATGACCGCCTAATAGACAGCGTCAGCTTCCGTCCCTCCGGAACAAAGTAAACATATAGCACATGATAGATATGTAAGAACTTACAGCAAGAGCATCCGGATTGACTCCATTCTCAATCAAGGACACACAAAGCGACAGCTCCGTGCGGTCTAAATTAGTGTTCTGGATGAAGTTCGGATATAGTTAGTCAAGCAAGCAATCAATCAATCAATTCGTTGACCGGGTGTATATTATGTGTCTTGTCAGGTGAGATGACACCAGATCCAGTCTCGACCAGAAAGTCTGGTCTATTACCGCCTGGCATGCTGGCGGTGTCCATCTCACCTAGAGCAGCAGTAGATGATAGCAAAAGCTAGATTATTCGATGGTAACAGTAATAATTATAAAGTCAAAAGAAAGGAAAACGCCAGGCAGAAGAATGATAGAAAATCGATGGAGGGGGTGGGTGTGGTGTCACGTACAAGAAGGGTGGAAATCTCGTGAAGAATGTCAATAACTTCGCGGGCGGCCTGGCGTTTGTCGTCGGCTTGGGAGGGCATTTTCGGGGAGGGAAAATGTAGTAAAGTCTTTTGTTTGGAAGTGAGGATTGAGTAAGAGGAGAAGGAACAGGATGATGAAACGATGGACAGAATGCTTCAAAGTGTATATCGGGGAGTATAGAGTATAAGCTATAGATAGAAGTTGACTGGAGTGTAGATTGTAAATAGTTAATTGAAGGTATTCATTCCTATCCGGTCTTCAACTCAATATTACTCGAATACTCAGATGTAACGTCGTATTGTAAGTATGGTACTGCGGTGGCTAGCGTATTATGCACTATACCTAGATGGGACATGGGAGTATCTGTGATTGGTTTTTCCTCTACTAGAAAACTTCCAGTTACTCTTAACAACTCGGGCAATCGAGCTGAATTGAGAGCCATTGGACCTTCGCATGACATTGGGTATCTGCTGAATCAGAGGAGAAATCTCTAGTGAACTATTCTTCGTGCTCCGGGATAATTGTGGAACCTCCCCTGTCAACTCCCCATCTTCCAAACGATCGTGAATGTAGATCCTGGAGGGGCTCTTCGGAATGCCACCAGCGGATCTGACTCCCAGTCTGACCATCTCAGACATCCATTCCATGAAGAGAGACCAGGCCCTGGAGATTCTTGCCCAGATTTCACGCGTCGAGAAGAAGACCTTTCCCGCTAACGAGGCATTCAGTTTCGGTGAGGAACTCTGGCGCAAGAAACCCAACACGAGGGTTCTGTATGTGACCCGTGCACCACCGACTCCGGGTGATGTCCGCCCAACCTTGCTGGCCTATGCCGTCTACGTCCGTCAGAAGGGAATAGCCCTACTGCACAAAGTTTGCGTGGGTGAAGCCCATCGCCGCCAGGGTGTCGCGATGCGGCTCATGAACTATATTCGAGCTCGTCTACAGAGCGAGGGGTGTCAGCAGATCCAGCTATGGGTCGACAAAGCCCGCTCGCCCGCTAGATCTCTATATGTCCGCAATGGCTTCAAGGAGCGTGACCAGATCCCGGACTATTATGCGCCAGGGCGTACCGGGATCAAGATGGTTCTGGATCTTTAGCTGTAGCGTGGGCCCTGTACCCGCCCTGTCGTGCCTAAGCATGGCCTTCGGCCCCTCGATAGACAGGCCCGATCCCCCTACCCCTCCGCTTTACGCGGTGGAAAGGAGCCACAAGACTTCTCCTTGGTACTTTTTGTTCAAAACTAGGGTGGCTTTGCCTGTCAAATACCCTCCCTTAAGCCTTCGGGGAATACGAACGCTATTGAGAGGGAGGGGTTGGGCCGGCTATGCTCCTTTGTGGACTCCTGCAAGCCATCCCTTGCAGGCGCGTGCATTCGCAACGTGAGCTTGAACTCCCGCGCCGCGAACCATCCATCTCTAACCATTCCCATACTTCAGTGACGTCAAAAATATCCAGGTATGGCTCCGTAGAAGGGGCCACACGCTTCGCGCCTCTCCTGTGCCCAATGGGCCCTTGGGCGCGGAGGCCCTTGGGGGCATACGCTTTGCCCTAAGGGCAGGCTGTTTCCGCCACTTTTGCTCTTCCAGCTGCCACCTTCTATCTTTGTCGTCTCTTTCTTTCTCTCACTTTCTTGTGAACTTCATATACGCTCCTAGATCTTCAAGCTGTGCTTGGATGATACGTCTGGAAGATCTATAGGAACGTCTATCGAATACCTGCCAGGACCGTTCCACTTGCTTAGGAGATATGGCGCTCTTTGCGTTGGCTCTCCTCAGCATCCTGGTGACTGCTGTTGCAGGTCTGCAGGCCAGCTACCCTGTTAACGCGCAGCTACCTCCGGTAGCCCGGGTATCGAAGCCATTCGAATTTGTCTTCTCGCCGGGCACCTTTTCTGGAACCGATGACAACACACAATACTCGCTTTCGAACGCGCCGTCATGGCTCGAAGTCGACAGCCAATCCCGCACGCTATTTGGAACGCCGCAGAAAGATGATCAAGGATCACCGACGTTCGATCTTGTGGCCTCAGATGGCTCGGAGTCTGTGGACATGCAAGTCACGTTAATTGTAACAACCGATGATGGACCGCAACCGGGAAAGCCGCTGTTCTCACAACTCGAAGACATGGGAGCAACCTCGGCCCCAGACACTATCCTCCTACATACCGGCGACTCTTTCTCATTATCCTTTGAGCCGGACACGTTCACCAACACGCGCCCGTCAACGGCCTACTATGGCACATCTCCAGACAACGCACCGCTACCCTCATGGATTGTTTTCGACCCAGCATCACTCAGTTTTTCTGGTACAACACCAGGTAGTGGACCTCAAACATTCAGCTTCAATCTTATAGCCTCGGATGTGACTGGGTTCAGTGCGGCTACCATGACCTTTGAGATGACCATCAGTCCACATATCTTGGCGTTCAATCGGAGCACGCAGACATTCTTCCTCTCGAAAGGACGGCAGTTCACTAGTCCGCAGTTTGCCAGCAATCTCACCCTGGATGGACATGACACGACGAAGAGTGACTTGGCCGACATTAAGGTGGATTCGCCGGATTGGTTGTCCCTGGATGACGAGACCATCTCTCTGAGTGGCACGCCCCCTGCAGATGCCGCCGATAATAATGTCACGATTACCGTGACGGATAAATATCAAGACGTAGCCACGCTGATTGTCAGTCTACAGTTCACTCAATTCTTTCGCAACGACCAGAATGTATGCGATGCTATCATCGGGCAGTTTTTCATGCTGGTCCTTGACGACTCTGTCTTGACCAATGATTCTGTTCAGGTAGACGTTGACTTAGGCCAAGATCTTCCCTGGCTTCACTACAACCGTGACAACAAGACTATATTCGGACAAGTTCCCTCCGACATCAATCCGGGAAGCTATCATATCAACCTCACTGCCCGGGAGGGTACCGCAGAGGACACTCGCCAGTTAACTATCAAGGCGATGTCGGAAGGGACCACAGGCGGGCCAGGCACAATTAATTCTACAGCCTCCGATGCAAAGAACAGCATTCGCGGAGGCAAGGCCGGTATTATTGCTATCGCTGTCGTCGTCCCCTTTGTGTTTCTGAGCACTGCCTTGCTGCTGTTCTGCTGCTGGCGGCACAAGCGTAAAGCGGCCGCAAAGAAATCTCAGGATGGACAGGAGGCCGAGAAAACACTATCAACTCAGCCAGACGGCGAAGGTATCACGCATAGTCGGCCTTATGAAGAAACTGCTCAGGGCGAGCCCCCGAGGATTCTGAGGATCCCTTCACAATCATCAGAGCCTCCAAAACTGGAGCTACCATTATGGCATGCGAGCCCATCGAAAAGCAACGGGCAAGCCCCAGACGCAGCCGGCAAAGAAAACACCCTCTCCGATCCTACATTCGATTGGGGAGGTTTCGCTTCTCTCAAGGGACCCGAACCAGAAGAGGCAAAACCAGTGGAGGAGGCACCGCCACAACCGAAACGCCTGTCTTTCCAGAACAGTCCCCCTTTACACCGACGAACAACCACCACTAGTTCTAGGAGACGAGAGCCCCTTCGGCCGATTCAGCCTAGGAGGTCCCTGAAGCGAAATTCTACCACTCGATCGCGTAGATATTCCAAACGGTCGAGTGGTATATCTACTGTGGCGTCCGGGCTTCCAGTCCGACTCAGTGGTGCCGGACATGGGGCCGGTGGTTTCGGACCTCCAGGGCATGGCGTGGTCCGTCTTTCCTGGCAGAATACACAGGCTTCGTTTGGAAGTGACGAGAGTGACGTAGGAAACCTAGCGCCGCTGTTTCCCCGACCGCCACCTCGAACCAGAGAGAGCGGGGATTATTCCAGACGAATGAGCCTGCGAACAGTCGAGCCTGACGAATCGACCATTTCCGAAGCGGACTCACTAGAGGCGTTTCTTCACAGCCGCGCAAAGAGTCGGAATTCGTCCAACCCGCTCTTCGCAGGTCAATTTGGCCGTCGAGCATCATCGGGCTGCCGGGCTCTCGAAAGAGCTCGGAGCACAGCCAGTCGCGCCGACACAGTAGCCAGTTCCAACTATATTGAGGAATATCGAAACTCCATTCATGAGCGGCCGTGGTCGACAGCCATGTCTGCCTCCATTTACACGGATGATCATCGTCAGTCGGCTTATTTACATAGCCTGTCCGAAGAATCTTCAGACATGGGGCCACCCCGCCCCGTGGGCAAACTGCCCAGCCAATCGAGTCTGGCGCAGAACTACTCTGAGACGATTGCGCCCCTGCCTCGCTTCTACAGCGAAGTAAGCTTGGATGAGCCGAAACGGTTCGATGGAGGGCCGGGATTGGGGAAAGAGAACGATCCGCCCACTGAGCGGCAGCTCGGCGGGAGCTCACGCCCTTGGTATCAGACCGGCTTTTACACCCACGGTGACATAGCTGGTGCCGGACAGTCATCGCGAAAAAGCCCTTCACTCTACTCCATTCCTTTCGATTCCAAATCACGCCGAGTGAGCTTGAACCGAGCGGTGGAGCGGGAATGGGAAGAGCTGCACAGTATGCAGAGGGAGCCGGCAGGAAGCTTGAGGAACAACGCAGCCTTCTTGTGAATGGGGTGACAAACGCAATGCTTAGTATTTATGTTCATATTGGTTTTATGGTTTTGCTTCACTGTCGACCAGGTCGTTTAGAAAAGTGTTCGGCGAGCGTGATATCCATGGATTCTGAATTTGGTTTCTTTGTTGATTCTCGGACCGTTGGACGGTTCTGCGCTTATCTAGTACCCAGTAGTGTTTAGCTAAATAATCAAGCCATTTAATATATCACTGGAATTGGGTCAGCAGAACAATGGGCCAGTAAACAGCGGTAAACCCTTGTTCCCGCTTATCGGATATCGGAGAAGCGCCCATGTGTCACCGACTGATCTATTTAGCTCCTAGTAAGATGCGTCGGATCCTTTGGCCAGCCCCATGGCCGTTCCTTTTAGCGTCATTTGGGAAGGAGGCTAATCAAAGCCCATCCTTATCATCATTTCTGGGACAGAGGGGGGTTCTTATTCCTTCCCTCGGCCTCTTGGCCCTTGAGTTTGAAGCATTCCTCTTCATCTGAAGCCTGGGATTCCTTCATCATGACCATTGCTTCCGAACAGCCAGAAACACCCTCTGAGACAACTTCTCTCTTAGCTGAGCACAATGAACTTCCTGTGCAGCCAAAAAGTGTTACGCGTAGAGCCCAGCAGGTCTTATTTCTTGCGTGCCTCTTAGCGGTCACTGTCGATATCGGCAGCTACATCTCCGTTGCTCCCCAACTTCAGATATACGAGTTGAACATCTGCCAGCACTTGCATCCGGAGGTCTTTGATAGCAGCCCCGGCGGGGTCCTTTCTTCACTGGTTCCTTCGGCTTGCAAGACTGCTGATGTGCAGGGTGAGCTGGCGTTGCTCAAAGGTTGGATGAGCACCTTTGACCAGCTTCCGGGCATTATTCTGGCGCTTCCATATGGACTCATGGCAGATCGCGTTGGCCGTAAACCAGTCTTATTTCTAAGCCTGGCTGGGTGTGTCTTGCAAGAGATGGCAATCAGAGTCATCGGTAAGTTAAGCTGATGTTGCAACGTGGAGGGACAGGCTAACTCCAATGTGAAAGCCTGGTATCATGCAACCATCCCCCCACGAGCTATTTGGTTTACGCCAATCTTTCAGATTCTTGGTGGCGGTTCTCAGATAGCTACCTCAGTGGCTTTCACTATCATCGCGGATGTTTTCCCGGTAGAGAAACGGTATTGAAATTTTGCTAAACCTGTTCACATCCCCTTTTGCTAATCAAGGCTCCTGCAGTTCAAGTACCTATTTCATCTTGTCGGCAGCTATGCTGCTGTCAGAGATTCTTGCTGTTCCCTTAAGCGCCTGGCTGATGTCATCAAACGCCTGGATCCCTTGGATGCTCGGACTAGCCTGCGAATTTGGTAGCCTGTTTACGATCCTCTTCTTGCCGGAGACTAAACCGGAGCCCTCAGTCAACCCCGTCAATGATGTTCAGCCGGAGACGGCAGGCCACTTGAAGCTATCATCGGCATTTACATGGGCCAGTGCGGTACTCTTTGCTCGCTCACAGTTCGCTCAACTGCATGAGTTCATCGGCGAGTATCCAAGTGCCCTAGTCATCTCCCTCGCCTTCCTCTTTTCGAGCTATGGAATTGAAGCAGTTCCTTTCATGCTCCAATATGTCTCCAAGCGCTTTTCATGGAGCTTAGCAGAGGTATGAGATCTCGGCAAAATGTACAAATACTTCAAGTTTCAGGTATGCTGATATGATTTCCAAGGCGAGCCTTCTCATATGCGTCAAGGGGATCATTAATTGCTTCGCTTTGATGCTCGTACTTCCGATGGCTACGAAGATCCTCGACCGATATTTGTCCC